AGATACGAATGAGTAGGTTCTGTAGTGTTGTATTGAACACTGTGAGCGCAAATATTCTGAGATTAACATTTCAGGATTCCATCCATCCGAGGAACCNAAATAATCGGTTTAAGTATGTAGATACATATATTAAATGTTATATAGCTGTTAATGAAAAATAATCGGTTTAAGTATGTAGATACATATATTAAATGTTATATAGCTGTTAATGTAAAATGTTTCTAATTCCCTCGCCCAGTAATTATATAAATTATTACAACATTTTTCCTGAAAGTGTTAAAACTGATTAAAATGATTAAATTCTAAAGTCGGTTGGATAATAATTGCATATTGGTAGAATGTTATGTAAGATCTAGATAGATACCGGGAGAAGATTAACCAAAATCTCATTCAAAACGTGTGCCTATAACGACAGGTTTGGGTATTGTATAGATAAAATCAACCTCCTTGCTCCTCCTCCCTCCTTACTACCACTCTTCTCAGCTCCGCCCCATCCTATTCAGCCTGGACCAAACACCTGTAATCAAACCTATTATCCAGGTTGCAAATTGATCTGATTCTAATCTAAAAACTTGAAAGAAAATTGAAAGTAATTAACCTAGTTCAGAGAAATTAAACAATATGTTTTCAACCCTTTTCTTTCGGTTTCTTAAACAGCCAGCATTTCAATCCTTTGGGCAATTAGATGAGATATGTTAATGGCGAAATATCGCTTGTATGCTGCATGTATTAGTGCTTTAAAGTAAAGCCGTTCTTCAGGATTTGGTTTGGTTTGGGTCTCATCATGGCACTCAAAACTTAACAGTCGATAAGGCTCTAAACGTAATATTTTTTTACCGAAATATTAGGCTACAGGGTGTCCCAATAAACATTATAATAATGTTTTTCAAATGTTCTTTTACCTCAGAGAATGTTTTTAAAACACAGTTATCTTTTATACAGCTAGAGAGTAACTTTAAAATATCAAAATTTCTTATTTTCTTATTTCTAAATTGTGGTCTGCTGCTTTTTACATATTTTAGCCAAGACATTATGAAATTAGTCCAAAGGTCAGAACTTTTGTGCAATCTCAGGATGAAGTTAATCTCAAGCGACACTAACACATAGTAAGGAATAACAAGGTTTAAAGGGTACTGCTGTGAATTGGAAGTGCCACTACGTAAATTAAAAGTTACTCCAAACTACGCCTACAGTCCCTTTAAACGATAAAGATAAAGTAAGGTTTGATCAAGGTTGCCGCTGCCTCCTAATATTTAAGTCATTAGAATATATGTACACATGGATTCAAGGATACAAGGATACAAGGATACAAGGATACAAGGATACAA